CTGTTTTAGCACGGTTGTACAGAGAGAAACACATTCTGTACAGTAAATTTGATAGATGTTTTCAGAAAAACACGCCATGGAATTTACAGCTTCAATGTCTCATTTTACATTTCATTTCTTAATTGTTCCCATTCTTCATCTTGTTCTGTACGTCTTGTCTTGCAGGAAGTTTACTAGACTTTCTGAAGGAAGGGGAGGGGAAACTCCTCAAGCTTCCACAGCTGGTTGACATGGCTGCACAGGTACATGGAAAAACAAGTGTCTTCTTACAGCTTAGAGACAGTCCTGTACAGCTTCCTCTTGCTTATCTCTGTTGAATCACTCATCTTCAAGAAAAGGAATGAATTACTGTATATGTGATATGTATCAGTGATTGTTCAGTGATGAACTCTTCTGAAAGGTTTCTTTTAGTACAAATTAATAATCACATGACTCCTTGTCTTATACCCCTGTCTGCATGTTTCTTCAAATTCTTCTCTTTTTGGAAAAATATAATTCCTGTTGTCTCTGTAAACACTGTAGGGGCCGGAGTTGGTCTCAATGTGTTAATTTGTGTTGTACATAAATGCTTGATTACAGGTGAAACTCTTGTTCAAGATATTGGTGCAACATTAAAATTTGTAACTTATTTTTCTTTTTTGATTTGTTTTTAAGATTGCTGATGGCATGGCTTTTATTGAGAGAATGAACTACATACACCGAGATCTGAGAGCTGCCAACATTCTTGTAGGAGACAACCTAGTGTGTAAGATTGCTGATTTTGGACTGGCAAGACTAATTGAAGATAATGAATATACTGCGAGACAAGGCAAGTTGAGAATGCGTGAAAAAGTGCCTTCACTGCTTACTATGAAATGACACTGATTCATTTCACGGTGAATTTGTTAAAGGCTGAAAACAGATGCAGAACATTGCTCCTGTTAGTTTCAGTGGCTAACTTTCAGTTATTCAGAGCTGGCAGCTGTCTGGCTGTCCTTTTATGATTCATAGAAAAAAAAGTATTACTAGATTAATAATAAATGTATTTAATAATTTCCATTGATATACTTAAGGTATTCATTTTTAAATTTCCTTCTAATGGCTCAAAAGTCCTCACAGTGACTCCTGCTAATTGGCTGTTTAATCCATCTAACTGGGAAGTGGCAGTCAAGGAGATACCAGCTGTATTCAGCAAGATTCATCAAATGCTTGAGTCTTGAATGCTTCAGTGGTGCTCTCATTGTCATTCTAGCTTGGTGCTCTGGTAGCTTTTCAGGCTCAAGCATAGACTTTCTCTGCAGCAGCAGTGCCTGTAGAACTTGAAATTCTGACATAAAATTTGGGGTATCCTCAGCAACCAAGACATTGTATGTGTTGTTATAACGGTTTTGTGCACCAGTCAGGTGACTGACATACAGTATACTGACTGTTCCTTGTGGTCAGGCTACTCCAAGCTATTTCTACTGTCAGATATGAGAAAACTGATAAAGATATAATAAACAGAATGTCTGGTATTTCTTCTTGCTGTAGTTGAATTAAATGTAGTTCTGATCCATCCATCAGTGGCTTAGATTGAAAACTTGAAAACCAGCTTTTTATTCAAGTTATTTGTGGAAAAATTGCATTTGAGAAAACATCTCATATCAATTACTTCCATATGATTTTATTTGTTGTTAAGCCACGTTATCATTGTAACAGATGATGTTTAAATCAAGGCTGTGTTTCTGAGGTGAGGTTTGCATTTTTGTTTCATGGGTATACAGAAAAAGAAAAGCTACTCTCAAAGTCTTTAATTTCTGTCGAAGGTGACAGAATACGTTTTGTATCTGTAGGAAAATGTTTACACAATGACGCTATGAATATATTGAAATAATGCCAAACTAAAATGATAGCTTTGAGTTCCTGGCTTAGGCTTTTCTTATTGTATTAATTTCTGTATATTTTAATGGCATTGTTTGGCTATTAATCAAGTATATCCTTCCTTTTTAATCCAGGAGCCAAATTCCCCATTAAATGGACAGCACCTGAAGCTGCTTTGTATGGCCGCTTTACCATTAAATCAGATGTGTGGTCCTTTGGCATCCTGCTGACAGAGCTGGTTACTAAGGGACGAGTTCCATACCCAGGTAAGAGGTACTGGAAGCTCAACTTCAGACAAACAGTAGCAGTGTCTTTGGCTGTAGTTCATTTTCACCCGAAAATGAAAGTAAGGCCACTTGTCAGTTGGGGGGAAAAAAGAGATTCCTAACAGAAATTAGATGTTTTATAGTGATGCCTTGGAGAAAAAGCCGATATGTACCATATGGAGTGATTTTCTACTGTTTTATTGTTCTAGCTAAACAATAAAGTGTTTATATCACTACGGTTTGATAAAGATGTACTTCCACCCTGACTCAACATTTGATGAGATGACAAAAATTTCAGATTGTGAAATAGAAGTTAAACAGAATTTGTAATGTGTGGTTTGATCATGTTGCTTGCCTGGAGCCACCAGGGTTGTAATAGGTATGACAGTGATATACGGTAACTGAATGATTACTGTAGCTGAGCCAGCTTTTAGATGTCTTCACATTAAGATGAGGCCTAGCATAAAGGACTGGCTGGTCATTTGACAAAGACATTTAAACCCTCCTTTTTTACCTTAGTTTTTTAATTCCCTCCTTTGTAGATCCTCCTACATTTTTCAGTGGAGCTTGTTAAATGTGGTCTGTCTGTGAAAAGGCGTCGAAGGCTTTGCATGTAGAGCAGACCAAGATTACAGTGGTACCATCTGGCCTTTAAATAAATTGTGATTTTGAACACTGAGCTTGTTTACAGCCATCTGCTCCTCTCCATTGTTTTACTGGTGATCTTTCATATTTCAGTGGTCGTGAACTGTGACTGGTACATTTAAAACTGATAGAAACAAAGATTTCCTCTAGGGCAACTTTTTATTTTTTGTATGTAAAATCTTTTTTTTTTTTGCATCCAGTCCTGAAGAATACATTATACCATGGATACATACATACATACCCTGTTGCTTTTATCTTTGAGTATCTAAATTCATGTTCCAGAAAATTCATGTTAGATTGGTTTTCACATAACAGCTCTGTGAATGCTTGAAGTAATATAAGTAATGTTTCAGATTAGTTTTATCCTAATTTATTCTTGGACCTCTTACATGTTGCAGTGCAGCACACCCTTATATTTAAAGTAGACCAAGACATTAATTCTGGACTTCCGGACTATCTGCACTTTGTGAATTACTCCTCAGTGGCACAGGATGTCATCCAATATTTAGACATGTTTTATTTGAATTTTAAGAACATGATTGGATTTGTCTCAGAAAATAGGCATTGCATGATGAAGAAATACAATGGCATTCTTGATGAAGCACGTTATTCTGCTGCAGAATACCTTTTCAATTACATTACTTTTTACGCACCATCATGTAAATGAAAGCAGACATTTCACTGAATGTGAAGTGTGATGTTAAAGGAGCTGCAAACAATACTGAAGGATTTATAAGCGCTCTATGCAATTGAGACTCATGTATGTGGTAGATCTAATACTGTAACTTGAGAGTAGTAAAGAGTCTTCAAAACATATAGTAAAGCTGTGAATGAATAAATGCATAACCCATGGATTGGTACAGCACAAGATGGCACAATAAACATACCTTTGTGTGAAAAAGTTAATTATCAGTTACACTTTTCTGGATACTCCACTCAAAGCGCTTTACAGGTAATAGGGACTCACCTCCACCACCACCAATGTGCAGCCCCACCTGGATGATGGGAGAGCAGCAGCAATGAGCCAATACACTCACCACACGTTAGCCATAAGTGGGGAGGAGAACAGAGTGATGAAGCGAATTCATAGATGGGGATTATTAGGTGGCTGTTGATAAAGGCCAATGGGGTAACACCCCATACTTTTTTTGAGAAATGCCCTAGAAATTTTCATGACCACAGAGAATCAGTACCTCTGTGTTATGTCTCATAGCACCTTTTTTCAGTATAGTGTCCCAGTCACTATACTGGGGCATTAGGATCCACACAGACTGCAGGGTGAGCTCCCCCTACTGGCTCCACAAACACCTCTTCCAGCACCAGCCTTAGTTTTTTTCCCAGGAGGTCTCCCATCCAGGTACCAACCAGGCTCACACCTGCTTAGCTTCAGTGGGTTATCAATTTAGAGTTGCAGGGCGATATGGCTGCTGGCAAAAGATGAAGATCCTGGGTAACTGACTGCCTATTTCAACCCAGAACAATTAAAAACAAAAATCAATTTTATTCAACACAAAGCAAATATGCAGTGTGGATATAAATACTTTCCTGTGAGATTATCTCCCAGGATTTGATGATGATGTAAATCTGAAGTGAAAACTATCCAGAAAAAGATTGCAGTGGAATGTGTTTGGATAAATTTTGGAATTATGCTGAATATTATTCTCAATTATTTGCAAAAAACTACATAATATTTGTCATTGTTACTAATGACATGGATGCAGAAAGAAGTGTTTCTTTGTATGGGTTGGTTTTCACCCAGTATCATCAATCCATGAAAGAAGAATGTATGAAGTTCAGTTTACAGTGTAAATATTTTTTTATCATTTCAAACATGGCAAAACTTGGTATCTGATTATCATTTTTGTATATCGCTGCATTGTCTGCAAAACTGTTGCAGATAAGGAAATGAGAATAATTTACAAATAAGGAAGTATCAAGCTAGTATAAAAATCAAGTCCTAAGATCAACTTGTCATTCAAGCATATTAGAAAATTAACAATATTTACACATTCTATAATCAGGGAAGGCTAAGTGTTAGTATTAGTTTTCTTGATTTCTCTCATACAACTTGGTAACAAAGTAACACCTAGGAGGCACACTTAAATATTTATTTTACAAAAAGATACAGCTACACAACAGAGAATCTTGTACAGTTAATAGTATTACCTGTATTTGTTACACATATTTATATTACTGTACGCATAAAACTCCTATCTGCAGTAAATATTGAAACCATAGACCTCTGAGACTATCACTATGAGGCTATGAGACTATATGACTGTCTCTAGACATACGCCTTTATCGGACAAAGAGGGAACACTTGTCTTTTAAAAAATGTATACAAAATAACTCTAAACCAGATGGTAATGCTAATTTAATGGGAACCTATTTCTCTATTCCAAAATAAAGCAAAACATTTATATGCAAACAATGAGAGATTTTTTTTTCTTGTTGATTCTACACATAAGTGGTATTTCCAGCAATTCAAGACGGCAAGTATCATTGTTAAACCATAGAATACAGTACTCTTTCAGTGCTCATATTACTTGAACATATTCTGATGTCTTAGTCTGCTGATTATACACTGGCCATGTTTACTGCTTCAAGGAACAAGGGCTAATGAAAGACAGTTGTTTCAATGTTCAGGGAATTCTTGTTGTTCTGAACTTACAGGATATGGTCATCCGTTTATTTTCTAACTGCTTTATCCAATACAGGGTCATGAGGGAGCCAGTGCCTAGCCTAGCAAGCAAAGGACATAATGCAGGATACACCCTGAACGGGACATCAGTCCATTGCAAAACACAGACACAAGCATGCACACACTCCAGGGCCAAGTTTCCCAGAAACCAATTAATATACCAGTATGTCTTTGGACTATGGGAAGAAACCAGAGCAGCAGGAGGAATCGCACACGACCACAGGGAGAACATACCTGTACAGACTTCATGCAGATGAAACCCTAAGTCCAGAACTGAACTCAGGGCCCCAGTGCTACAAGGTGCTAACTGCACCTTGGTGCTGCCCACAGGATATTGTCATGTTCTTGGTAAATCCAAACACCTGGCTGTCCCCAACATACAACAATACTGTTGATTAAAATGGATGCATCATTAAGTGTCAATAGCCATATACTGTACATCCCTTGTTAATCTACAATCTTATGTGTGTAAATTGTAGAAATTAAAAGACTGTTTGAGTTTATTAAGAAGATTAAGGTACTGCAGTACGATCGTTGCTCAAAGTACCATATATATGGATGTAATTTCTGATAATTTAATTATTTCTGTTATATACCTTCTAATAATTGAATCTAATAATACCATGATTACTGCAGATGGGCTTTGTCCAGTATATATTGTCAACATTTTTGGAGCGTCAGAGCCAAAATGTTTAGCTTTTGAAGAATTTTACATACAGTATTTATCACAGTGAAGCACTTCCCCAGTTGTGGTTAATGACATTGTCCCCATCTGAACCAGAAATGTCTGAACTACACAGCTCAAACTCCCAAAAGATATTGCTGTGCACTGGTGCTGAATCTGTCTGTGCAGTAGAAAGTAAAGTTTGTCCCTGGCTGGAACCAGAATGACAACTGCCCCCAGTGCTCCAGCAGGATAGGGTGTTTGCCTCAGTGTGTCTCCTGAAATGAAAAATAAAGTTAATCCCTTTTGAAATTGTGAACACAATATGGACACATAAAAGCAGAACAGAAACTTCTACATACAGGTTAACAACACTGTTCTAAAAAGATAATTGGGACAAACTTCACACAATCAATTTTGTGCTAGTTTTCCCCATGCTGATCCCAAAAATGCTACTTTCCCTAACTGCTACTACATTTAAATGCAAGTGTGGTACTGATACATGCAGAATAGGCCTTGTACCCCGTTCTGGTACAAAGAAAACACTGTCAAGGTTTTCTGTTGTGGCAAAGCTTGAGATTCGCAGTTCGTTTAAGAAACTGGCAGTTCACTTAAGTGACTGGTATCATTTAGATATCAAAAGGGAAAATGAAACCGTTGAAACCTGATGGATTATTAACCCTTTTCTGTAGGTATGGTGAACCGTGAAGTGCTGGAGCAAGTCGAGCGTGGCTACAGGATGCCCTGTCCCCAGGGGTGCCCAGAGTCTTTACATGAGATGATGAAGTTGTGCTGGAAGAAAGAGCCAGATGAGAGACCAACTTTTGAGTACATCCAGTCTTTCCTGGAAGATTATTTCACAGCTACAGAGCCTCAATACCAGCCAGGGGACAACCTATAATTGTTGCATACAGCCAATCAGGTCTCCTCATTTCATCCTTCAGTTATGGTTCCTGGAAACGAAATGGCTGTGCTTTCCTTATTAAAGGCAAACTGGAATTTGTTGTTATACACAAACCACTGTTTTTCCATTTGTTTTATTTCAAACACTAATCATGGACATGTACCAGATTCAGGGGCTGAAGGTATTGGTTTGTATAAAGTTTTCTCCTTTTTTGTAGCAGATTCAAATGTAAATGTTAAAGTGACCAATATTTGACTGTACTATCTTTAAATCCTGTTGAATCATGAATGCTTTGCATTACTCTGTGACCTATCAGTAAGCTTTCCTGGAGAACATTGTTGATCCTTTCAAGGAAGATGATTATGTGTATTGAGCATAACAACTTTGAAATCTTATTTTTTAATTAAGCTAAATTGAAATGGGAGTGTAAACGCCCTGCTTTCAGGACTGCTTTCATCATTTCAACTGGAAGATATATATTTTTTTCTTTGATCTAAATAGGTGGTTTTGGTAGCAGAGCTGAGTAGGTGAACTAATTTTTTTTTATCTTTGTTGATTTAAGTGTGATTTTGAGAACTTGTAAACAATTCTGTGCTAAGGGGTTCAAAAGAACTTTCTGAAATTCCTTCCCAGTCATGAATGTTTTTTGAAAAAGCATTTATAACACTAAGACGAAAAAGGATTTTCAAGGTAAAGTGTCGTAATTTATGGCTGCTGATGACATTGACCAAGTACTTTGAACAGAAAATATGGTGGCAGGAAAAAGTACACATTTTTACAGTCTGATACTAGAAGATGTTCGGCATCAATTGACAATAGTACAGAGGTATTCCAGGTTTCTGATACGCTCCACAAATCCAGCACTCCATTCTAAGCATTTCTCTGCGAACATTGCAGTGTTCATGACTATAACTCAAGTGGCAGGGATATCTACAGAAACGGTTTTACCATTTCCTAATGAAACATGTTCTTTTGTATTGTTTCTTTATGGTAATCCAGAAACAAATGTACACCAATAAACCAGCCAAATAAAATGAACCAGTATAGAAAGAAAATATTTTTTTAAAAAACTGTTATTTAAGTGTCACTTCTTTAAAGGGTTTTTTTTTTTTAAGTAACGACTCCCTCAATGTTAAAGTGATTGGTGAACACTAAGCAATAACTTTACAATGTGCTCATGCCCTGTTTGAACTGTAATGCAGGATTCAGTTAATTGTTTTGTGTGCATTTTATTTTAGAAATGTAGTATATGTAGTTTACAATCTGTGGAATCATACTTAGCATTTCAAACTGTGGCTGTAAAGTGAGAAGTGAACTGGGTTAGTTTCTGTAAAGTGAAGTCTAGTTCTGGGTGTGCTGAAACTCTTTCTGAGTGTTTACACAAGGTTTTGGTAGTGCTGAAACCCTGAACCAAACCAACCCTCTTAAAGAGTGCCATTGTTTGTATGTGTCTTTATCCTCATCCTTCTCCGTTAACCTATGATCGTGGGTTTTAAAAGGGCTTTGTACAAAGTTGTGAAAACCTAAGTTTTTTTTAAAAAATGCATTAAACATGATGGTTTTACGTACTGATATCTTAAATCTTTAAGTGAAACTAAGGTCTGGCAAATTATGGTTTAGTTACTAATCTGAAAAATTTGTACAGTTTAAAAAAATAAACTTATTTCTTGATTTTATTTCCCTGCAGTGCATTTCTTGAATGTTCTATTTTTTTCTTTCCCGGAAGCAGTTTTTTTTACGCTACAGAAAAGAGTGAAATTATGTTTGATGTCCCTTGTGAGCATTCAGTACTATTCAGTCTTTCACAAAACATGTTCACAGTATAAGAGCTTAACCTTTTTGGTGTTGATTCAACAAATTATATTTTTCCCAGTTCTTGTCAAGGTAAAATATTTCCCCAGTAGTAGAACAAATCTTTTAATATGCATAAGTAATTGTTTCTGTATTGACGTTGATGCTGTAGTGAAAACATTCTCTCTAATGAGAGATCCAATATCCTCAACTGCAAAAAGCAGCACTGTATAAGTCCTTGAATGTTACAGACTTGCATTATCCATTCATTTTCTAACTGCTTTATCCAATACAAGCTCGCAGGGAAGCTGGAGCTTATCCCAGCAAGCAATGGGCACAAGGCAGAACACACCCTGGCTGGGACACCAGTTCAGTGCAGGGCTCACACAGACACAGACACATGTTCACACCAGGGCCAGCTTTCACAGAAGCCAGTTAACATACCTCTGTGTCTTTGGACTGTGGGAGGAAACTGGAGCACATGGAAGAAACCCATATGAATGTGGGAGAACATACTAATTCCACACAGACGGTAAGATCTGGAATCAAACCCAAGCCCTAGTGTGTGAGGCAGCAATGCTAACCACTAGCCCTGCTGCCCTAGACTTGCATTTTTCATCTGAAAATTGTGATTTCACAAAGTCAGCAAAATAAGTTGCTGTTCAAGTGACACCGTCTTGAATGAAATACATTTTGAACACCTGAATAATCTTTACTAGCAGAGATTGCAAAACACAGAAAAGCTTTTTGTCTGATAAATTGCTTAAGTTAGTCATTTATGATCGGTTCCTTTGGCTTAAAATTTGTCTACAGATTTGGTGCATGAATTTGTAACTTTTTCACAGGTGTTTGGTGCAATGTGTAGATTTCCTAAATCTAAATATGAATTTGCGATTGTGGAAGAGTAATTCATACTGCACTATGTACTGAGTCTCAGAAAGGATGAAGGCTGTAAATCAGAGATGTGATTTTAGATAGGTGAACTCTAGCATTAATAAGTTATAATAGAAATATGACAATAGTTTTGCTTTCATACCTCAGTATTTCATTTCTTTTGGAGTTTATGACATCAAGAATGTACTGTTAGTCTCCAGATGTGGTTATGGAGAGACGAATGTTCTGGTTTTCAGTTTTTCTGAGTTTTTAATTTCCCAGCCATTACTGTACTGGATTATTCAGAATGGTGGATATAATCTTTAACCTGTGATTGAAGTTTAGGATAGGAGCACTGCTGAAAATTCAGAATACTCTTTAAGTATAATATGTAAATCTATTGTTGATAATTGTACTCTTGATTGTCCTTTAAATTTAGTACAGTACCACTTTTGACTTGATTTAGTTTAAAAGATTAAAAAATGGAACTCTGCAGTTAATTAAAATACTCCCACTATATAACTGCTTAATATAATATACTTAATATATTATCCTTAATATACTGCTTGTATAACTGCTTAATTAACTAAAATCGAATGTTTTATCCTAGTAGAGTGTGGAAGAATCTTGTCAGAATGTGGAAGATTGTTTTATTTGATTTAGTAATAGCTCTAATCAGGAGTAAATGACCAACGAAATGAAAATGTTTTGGATTCGAAAAAATATTGTACATCGAAATACTTTTTTCAGGAATATCACTTCTGGTCTGTGTAATTTAAAATGAAGTATAATCCATAAATTGCTGGCATTTTATTTAAAGAGGTGATACCTGATTTTCGGTGTCGTAAATGTACACACAACTTCAGAAAAACTCTTACAACGCAGACATCTACAATTTTATAATTACTCTTGTAGCTACCGCAATCACCACAAATTGAATGATCTCGCTAATGTGATGATGTTGCTTCCTGATCAGCTACTGCCCTGTCTAAGCACTGCAGACGGTGTCTCAGCCGCTGTATTTCAGAGCTGATGGGACAGTGAATGTCGTTGTCACATGACTTCCCACGTGAAAGCAGATGTCTTGGCTTCAACCAATCGCAGAAAAATGGGGGCGGAGTGAAAGCGTTAAGGGACGTTATTCCTTACTGCAAAGATTTGTGATCTGTTACGCACCAAGGGTGTAATTTAAAGAATACAAGAAATGGTGAAGGGCAAAATCACGAAATTGTCTGTCAGCGACGTTAGGTTTCCGACTTCTCTTGAACAGCATGGGTCAGATGCAATGGTCAGTGCATTTTTACCAACTACCTTGCGGACTCCAAAAGCAAGAATGCATACTAATAAATGTCCAGAAACGAGTTTAAACTAGGAAAATAAAACATTGTCTCCAGTCATGCTGGTGCTTGAGGAGCATTTGATTTTTATTTTCAGATTTCTGGTAGTACTATTTTGGGAGACCAATTCCGTTGTCCGAAACTGTCACTTGTGTTAATTCAGCAATTCGTACATCGAAACCGCCTTTATAAGTTCCATAGTTTACTCGTTCCGAATAATAGCACATTTAGGTTTGCTAGTGGAGAACATTGCTGTTTGTTATCCACTCTCAGGGCTGCATGTAGAATAATATAATGATCGTATTAACTTGTTGGAAGTTGCCTTAAGATTTCACAAGTTTCATGCTGAAATCATGTGACTTGCAGCACACAGATCCGGATTACTCCGTTGCTTATGTTGTTATCGAGACAGAAGGTGGCTTGAAGGGATACGGACTTACTTTTACCTTGGGGAAGGGCACAGAAATAGGTAAGATAAAAAGTACATACGAATGCAAAGCGAACTTTTTGTTGTTGGTAGTTTGCTGGGAGTTTATTTTCTGCAAGAGCGCCCTCCTTCGGTAGGCCTCTCAACATGTGTCTACTGTACGTGAGCTTTATACTGTTATATCTAAGGTTGCACTAAATTGGAAGGATTATTCTTATTTTTAAATGCTTGCCTGAAATCACTGAGTTTAAAGATTGTTGATTATGATTATTTTATAATCACTATCAACAAATATAATTTTTGTAAGTATTCTGGCTTTTTACACATATTTGTAAAATAAAAGTGTAAATATCTTTTTGTGTACAATTATTTGTATTGCAAAACAGCTTTCGAAGGTTTTTGAGATGATAACAGATTAATTCACCAGCCAATTTAGAATAAAGTTCCCCATATCACTATTTTTAACTTTAAAAGCAAAATACTAATAACAAATATTCATATAAACAGACAAATCCATAAATCTTAGAAATCTGTTCTAAAGGGTACTAAAACAGATCAGCAACCTATTGTAGAATTGACTGTTTTGTGACAGATGCTGTATTGATTATTAGAAATGTAGAAAGGTAAATATATAGATTGTGGTTTTTCTTTTTACTCTCAAAGCTCAGTGTCAAAACACCATTATTATATGTTCTCTGATGCAAAAAAGAAGCAAATGACTGCATCGTATGTAGCATGTTTAATGCCAGTAGCATGCCATTTATATTCATTAATGATTATCCACTTAATTCTGTGAATATCAACAGAAGAACTTATTTCCAAGATAATAAGATGCTGAGTATTAGCTGCTTTAGCCCACAGCAAAAAAGAGATTCTACAGATATTTTTGTGACACCATATGGTTTACAGTTGATCACTTAAGTCAAACTGTGAGCATGACTAAGTTATGAATTACTTCATTTTTTCCTGCATTGCTGAAAGGAGAACTAATTAATTTCTTTGGACATATTTTTTTGCAGTTGTCTGTGCAGTGCAGGCCCTGTCTTCACTTGTGATTGGGAAAGACTCAGAGGAGATTGTGAATGACTTCCGAAGTTTTTACAGACTGTTGACAAGTGATGGCCAAATGAGATGGGTAAATATACTGTATAGTGAGACAAGGCAAGGGCAGGGGAACAAGGTATATTCTTGATGCGGCTTCTGTTTCGTAAAGATTAATTCTGGGAAGAGTTTCTAACAACATTATGGCCTGGGCCATGAGCAGTTAAATGTACTGGTTTAACTTTTTTTTTTTACTGCTTTGAAGAACGATGGAAGAATAAAGTCTTCAGCAAGACATGACTTTTGGCATTTCAGTGTAATTTCTTGTATTAAACAAAGCCGAAAAATGATGCTCCTTGGGGAGCACGAGCACCACTGTCTTTTCCCTGAAGGCCTCTGAATAGATCCGAATCAATCAGGTGAGTGACGGGAGCATCAGGAATGACCTCTCCGCGATCCTGTCTGGCAGCTCGGCCCCGAGAAGGGAGTGGTCCAGCTGGCGGCGGCTGCGGTGCTCAATGCCGTGTGGGATCTCTGGGCCAGAGCAGAGGGCAAGGTGAGTGGCCCTGACGTAATTGGTTTGTTTTCAGAGTGAAGGCACACAGCCGGCACAACCCCCAAGGAAAAAACGTCAAGCTGGTTATTTGGTTCGTCTGAATTCCCCAGTTCCGTCATTGAGGGGTTGCGTTTGTCTCGATGCCGGTGTGGTGGAGCTGGGCAGGGGCTCTTTGGTGAGCTACCTATGGTAGTCCAGTGCAGGGCAAGTCACAGGTGGGTTGTTTTAAGAAAATAAGAACATTCAAAAACAAGAAAGTGCCTTTCTTTCTTTGATGAATTATTACTTTAGGATTCAGGAACTCCATTTATTGTGTGATTCTCATTGTAATTGTGCTTTTGGACAGGCTGCATACACAGCCATGACACTTTCCTGTCCTATAGGCTAGTGCGAGGTTTGCAGAAAATTGGTTTGGTGAAATATATTTTTGCCTATAATAACCTGGGGAATGACAAAAGGGGAATATGAAGGTGATTTTATTTTTAATCGTTTTGTTTTCGTTTTCAACAGCCACTTTGGAAGTTGCTGGTAGACATGGTAAGTCAATTAAATGATAGACTTCTGTAAATAATAAATTATAACTTAAAAAGTGCAGCTCATTTTACACATAACCAAAGTATTAAATTAGATTTATTTGTCACTGGAAAAATTTGATCCTACAGATCAGTGATCTCATTTTGTGTTCAGCTGAAGTCTTTGATAATACATTTAATAATACATAATACAGGTGGATGCTGCACATTGGTGGTGGTGGAGGGGAGTCCCCATTACCTGTAAAGTGCTTTGAGTGGAGTGTCCAGAAAAGCGCTATATAATTGTAAGCAATTATTATTAATTATTATTATTTCAGCAGAGCTCCACATCATTAATTACTAGCTCAAGCAGTCTTGAATTTCCACTTTCTTGGTGTGTGTACCATTACCTAGTAATACTGTTTCTCAAGTATTTTGATTATTTCATAATCCTGGCTTTCACGGAGCTGCTCAGAAGATTTAATAATATAACAATAGTGTATTCTGGTGCAAAGAGAATGTTAAACCATTGAACTTTCCCTTCAACAAGTACATCTTAATATCCAGCAGAGGGCGCCTCTAATCTTAAGATAACGATAGTCTAGTAGACGATCTGCTTATTATTATTTTTTTAATCGATTCGGAATCAAACATTCATTATTATTGGTGCTACTTAAATTGATTGTCTTTTTGCAGAATCGATGTTAAACATTTTGATAACCTGAATAAAAAAGTTCAAATAAATATATACAGTACATATCTACAGTATATGGTTATATGTTCATTTCAATATAAATGGTGAAAGTATGAGGTGGCAACAGGGCACAGTGGTTAGCACTGCTGCAGTGGCTGTAGTAATGGTGCCCTGGGATCAATTCCTGTAGTGTTAGTGTTTGGAGTTTGTATATTCATGTGGATTTCCTCTGGGTGTTTCCTCCCACTGTCCGAAGACATACCAGTAAGTTAATTGGTTTCTGGGAGAATTGATCCTGGTGTGTGCGTGTGTCTGTGTGTGCCCTGTGATGGACTGGCGTCCTGTCTAGGGTGTATCCTGCCTTACGCCCATTACATGCTGGGATAGCCTCTGGTTTCCCAGCAATCCTGAATTGGATAAAGCAGATAGAAAATGGACGGATGATGAAACTGTCTTCATTACAGAAATCTTAAGTACAGTACTTGACTATAAGTTCTGCTTTCAGGACCCAGAAAAGCTCATTTCCTGCATAGACTTCCGATATATCACTGATGCTCTCACAGAGAAGGAGGCTTTAGGTGAGTTAATCTTAACTGTTTATTGAAAGTCAGTTTACATTTAAGAAGACATTTTCCTTTCTCTGGCACTAAAACAGTGACAGTTTAGTGCACTTAACAGGCACTAAATTAAAAAAGTGATGAAATGATTCAAACCTGAATTGACTAATTACACATTCTGTATGGAAAATAAAGGACTACAAAGTAAGAGAATGCTCATCTCTCCAACTTAACAATCAGATTCAGCTAAATGAACATGTCGTCTTGCTTTGCCTGTACCTGAAATGTTATTTTTTTTCACCAGAAGGAACTTGTTTAAAAAGTTTAACTTTATGCAAAATTTATATACTGAAAAAACAAAACTTACAGATATCTCCCTTTGACTGTGAATATATATATATACACACACACTATTGTCACCTCTTCTCAGATATTCTTCGGAAGGCTCGAGATGGAAAATGTAAGAGAGGTATGTGAACTTCCATTCAAATTCCTGATTTTTGCTACAGACTGAGGCCCACACCTGTGCTCACAAATGACTGATTACTTCTATTTTAGAGGAACACATGCTGAAGGAGGGATATCCTGCATACACCACCTCCTGTGCCTGGATTGGTTACCCAGATGAGCAGTTAAAACAGGTTTCCCACAGAGATCAGGGTTTTTCATGAGAGACCAAAATCAGTATCAAAACAAGATTTAAATCCTCTGCTGGTTTTATCATTATCCTGGCAAAACAGCTGAATTAATAAATGGTTAAAGAATGCTGCAGAGGAAGAGAAAATGTACAGATGACAGTAAAATGTCATTCTGAACTGAACATTTTCCTTCTTGTACAGTTTGAACACATAAACTATCAAACATTAACATTATCAAACATTAGCATTAATAGGGATCTGTGTTTTCTTTCAGCTCTGTTCAAAAGCACTGAGTGAAGGGTGGACGAGGTAAGGAAATTGAAATACTGAACACTGGATTTCAAGGCTTATTTGACATTAAATTCCCATTGTTTTTCAAAAACGTATGGTGGTAATATTTGAGCATTTTTAATGCCTTCCAGCAATAGGTATTGGCGGGGTTCACAATGTGAAGGTGAAGAGATCCCACCCATCAGATTAGCTAGTACTGTATTTTAATGAGAAGTACTGTAGGGGGAACTGTTGTCCACTGTGTATGCTGCCTTGTGCCTGTTGCTTGCTGGCATAGGCCCCAGGTCCCCTCTAGCCCCATATTGGAAGATCTATCTCACTGCTTGTTTCTCCTGTCACTCCTATCAGGTGCCTTGCTTATAAATCGCATTGCTCCAGATAAACCTCAAGGCAAATCTACGAAATCGCAAGCTCTCTGTTCACCACCTCAGTTTTCTTATTAACATCAGTCCAAATTATCAGACTGTAACAGACTTAATACATGTGCATCATTAAAAAATATTATTACAAACTGTATGCATTTGTTTTCTGATTTGTGCTGATTTAAGTGCACATAAAAATATATAACAGTTCTGTACAAATAACATAAAAGGCAAATGGATACCCATAGAAAAAATGTACAAAGTAGATTCCACATGTTTTTGTGTTGCTCAGTGTTAATCATCATATCACTTCCAATAACTGCCTGTCTAATTCAGGCCCAGAGTCTCTCCTCGGAAGTATTGCGTGCAAGGCAGGATACACCCTGGACAGGACGCCAGTCCATCACATGGTACACACAATCACACCAGGGCCAATTTTACAAAAGCCAATTAACCTACCAATATATGTATGGACTGTGGGAGGAAACTGGAGCACATGGAAATAAATCCAAGTGAACATGGGGAGAAAATTACATTTCCACACAGAAGGTACCCCAGGAATTGAACTTAGGGCCCAAGCAATAAGGCAGCAATGCCAACCACTCTGCCACTGTACTGCCCTAGCCCAGTGTTGTTTTTGTAAAATGTTTCTAGTCATCTAGTGTTTAGATGTTTTCATAAATCTGAAAATGTATCTTCACATCACTACGGCCCTGGCCTGCACTATCAGTGAATGAACTCACAACTTCAAGCATAGTGATCATGTAGACTGTGTCAGAAGCGCTGGGATCATGCTGTGTTAGTGGGACGAGGTAGTAGTACTGTACATAAAAATAAGAATTGCATTGAGGCTGCACTGTAAGAGCGAGTTGTACATGGACTTCCTAGTGGGAATGGCTAACTGGTTATGTGAAGGATGAGTTCCTAACCTGCAACTGTGTGGTAAACGATGAAGTGACGTTAGCCATCCCCCAACTCTCACCTCCATTATACACTGATAGAAAAAACAGAGCCTGCTTCTGCATATTGAAATATTTATATTTATATTTTACATTTGTTCATTACCCCCCCAAAAAATATTGCAATATTGTATTTTTATTTATTTTCATAGATTATATAGTTATGGATGTTTTTTAGATTTATGGAAGTTAATCATAAGTATTATTGAACAGTGGTGATGGAAACACTTTATTCAGTTCTTGGCTGTTATATTTACAGTCCACTCTCGGCTCATGCTGACTGTAGGTTTTACATTCCAAATGTTCTACTGCAGGTTTAAGGTAAAAGTTGGAGCAGATCTGAATGATGACATTCGCCGGTGCCGTCTCCTGAGAGAGATGATAGGACCTGACAAAACTCTGGTATGTGGACTTTTCTTCAGCATTTCTTTTAAATCACAACTTTTGAATTATTTATTCTGAATCACAACTGCATTCTCACCAAGTATTATTGAACCACTTGCATTGTTAATATTTAAGATTTCACCGCTTGTTTTTGTTTACAGATTCTAGCAATCTGTTTTATACCTTAAGTGCCCCACCAGCACTGTTTTACTGTGCCACTGCGACCTCACCCTGCCCTACAGCACTGTTTTACTGTGTATAAATTGCATTTATGGACATACAGTATGTTTTTATATTATTATGTAATAAATATTTGTTGGTGTTAAAATACATTTGAGCCTAGTGTTTTCTGCTATGATAACTGTTGTTAAAACAGCATAGTTTGACTCTCACCAGGAGTAAGCAGTTAGTGAAATACCAGTTGAGTTTGGGTGAGAAGAAAATAAGCTTATTTTTAGCCGTCTTTAATTCACACTGATCAGAATCTTAAAAAACTAGAACACAACAACTATAAAAGTAAACTATATATGATCTTTATATACAGACATATGAAGTGTCTAATTAAACATAGAAATTAACTTTTTGTGTGGTGTTCCTCCTCATTAATATAATTTGTTCCTCTCTACACATTCCATTAGGTTTGTCAGGTTATATAAACATGCTTATGATTTTTACAGTAATTGAGGGCCCTATCAAATAAAAAAACAGATATTAATTCCTCTGATTAATTCTGTTTCCAGTGTATGATGCCTAATTCTGTACCTGTCTTCTCAGTCTTTCTTGTAGTCTTCACCGGCCGGTGAACCACACTGTTTCCCAGTGGCATTTGTACAATCCTTCAGTTGCACTTTGAGAACTCTTCTGGAGCAGATAATTAGCCTTTGAGGGTCATGTAGAGCTCTCCTCACAGCCTGCCTTGTTACAGATGATTGATGCCAATCAGCGATGGGATGTTGCAGAGGCAATTGAGTGGGTCTCCAGACTGGTCGAGTTCAAACCTTTGTGGATAGAGGAGCCTACTTCCCCTGATGACATCCTGGGCCATGCGGCAATTGCCAAGGTGTGTGTGTGGGAGCCAGCAGATGGCACAAACTGCTGTGTTCTAATTGACCACATGTTTATTTTATTCCCATCTGATATCGGTGGACAACCTTGGCCCTGTGCACAGAGAACACTGTAATGAGCTGCTTGGCTGCAGTAAGCATGTTCTGTTTTTAATAGTTCAGCAGTTCCCATCTAGGCAATGATGGGGACTGGGTATGAGAGGGCAGGTGATGATGAATTGTATTGTCTCTGGTGTTTTTATTGAAAGATGAAGACTAAAAATGAGAACTTTTTTTGGCTTTTGGAAACTTTTTAAGTACATTTCCTTCAATGCAAATCTTAGCAATGTTAGTTTTCACACAGCACCGCTATCTGGGTATACCATTGTGAGTGCACACTAGCATATTTCTCAAAGGTTTGTGTTGAAATAAGCTTTTTCTATTTGTGTTGTAGGCTCTGGCTCCCCTGGGAATAGGTGTGGCAACTGGAGAACAAGTGAGTGCTTTTGCACAAAGTGTCCATACAGGATAAGATGCCTGGCACAGAATCTGCTCTTTTCCTTTACCTTGGAAAAGAGTATTCACTGCTTGAGGGGGATAGTATTGCTTATAAATATACTCCTCTGCTGTATTATTAAAAATGACAAGCTCGACTAATTAAAAATGACTTTGCCCGACTAGCTCAGTCAGTAGAGCATGAGACTCTTAATCTCAGGGTTGTGGGTTCGAGCCCCACGTTGGGCAGTGCCCGTCTCCTGATTATTAAAAATGTATGTTTATGTTCATTGTGCTGCACATCTCCACCCCTTCTTAGTTCAGATTATTAGCACTTTAGGTACTTAAATGCCAGATGACTTGATTCATTAGATTTAAGATTTTGTTTTGTTCTGTATTGGTCTTGGATCCCACTAAATATTAATAAACACATACCCATATGCTCTGAAACTCAAACATGTTTTCTCAGTGTCACAATAGAGTGATGTTCAAGCAGCTGCTGCAGTCGCAGGCTCTCCGGTTTGTTCAGATTGACAGCTGCAGACTGGGCAGCGTCAATGAAAATCTGGCGGTGCTGCTGATGGCCGAGAAATTTCAAGGTGATAAAATCAAAAGTGCTAAAAAATACATATGTACTGTAGAAAAGCACCTACTCAAAACTGGTTAGACTTCTAGCTATCTCAACAACCTTTTCTATTCTTGAAATTATTTTGTCGTCTTATATAGCAAGAATACATTTTTACTTAATATAATGTGTATTCTGGAGAAGAAATTTTCAGTGGAATTTTGGTAAATATCCCTTACTGTGTATTTCCCGAGCAATAGTCACATAAATGTAGAATTTTAAATATTACAAATAAGAGGTTTGCATTCAATGTACAATGATTGTTTGGTTGTTAGTAATGTAATGATCCAATGACCCTGTCTTTACTTTTCATATCTTAAAGGATCCCAGTGAATCAGCTTCACTTGACTTCAACTTCTACATTTACTTTAAACAGTTGTCAGTGTGTACAAACCTGCCCATTAAAAAAAACTACTCTGTTGGTTTGTTGGATAGGAACGTGCATTCTTAATTATATTTACAGTA